GCGCCGCGGGGAGCGCCGGGAGCCTCCGCTTCCGCGGCCCGCGCCGCGCGGCACCGGGACGCGGCCCCTTCGCTCTCCCCACGCCTTTATTGGGCTCCCCGTACACAGCGAGCGGCCCGCGCGGGTGCGGGGTAGAGAAGGAGGGATCCCTGCTGCGGGGGAACACGCGATCTCCCCCCGCCGGACTTCATGGGAAGACAGGGAGCGACTCGGAGCTGTCGGGCTGCGGCCAAAAGGTTGGGAGGGAGGCTGCTGGAGCCCAGGAGACACATGGATAGGGGGTCCCTGGTCCCACCAAGAGTGCAGGGACACGCTGGCAGCTGCAGGCTTGCCGGGGACAGAGGTGCATGCAGCAGAGCGTCTGGAATCCGCAGGGCATAGCCTGAGATGGGGTGTTGTGCCCGGCTAATGCCGTGTGTTCCTGCGTGGGGGAAAGCGGCTCTGCCTCGAGCCTGGGCACGGGGCTGGTTGGAGGGCGGCTTTGAGGAAGGGGGGCGGGAAGCAGCAGCAGGGAACGCCGCCTCCAGCACCTGCTTGTGGGCAGGAGGGAGCCGGGCTCATCTTGCCCGTCTCCCCTCGGGCAGCGCCCAGGATGGTGCACGAGTCCTTTCATGAGATTCACTGGCGGGTAGCTCCTGCAATCGCTCCTTCTTCCGCTGCTCAGAGGAGTGTTTTCATCAGGGCCTGGGCCTGCTTCAGCTCTGGGAAAAGAGGTGGAGAGAGGAAGAGGATGGGAGGGGGGTCACAGCACTAGAGATCTCGAGGGTGGCAGCGATCTCTCTCAGGGGAGGCCTTCCTGCACACTCATCCTCTGCAGGGACAGAGGAGGTGTTTGGGCAGCAATCAGCACTATAAACCAAAAGAAGCAGCTGCTACCCATGCTGAGGGGAGGACATAACCCATGTGGCACTGTCCTTGGTCTTGTCTTGGTCCCCAGGGGATCAAGCAGTCCCTCTGCCCAGGGGCCCTCCCTTGTCCTCACCTGCCAGCAGGACTCGGAACTTGTCAGCCGACACAGCCATGGGGACGGTCTCCGTCACCCCACTGTCCCTGTCCCGCACAGCGAACATCAGGTGCACGAGGGGTTCGTTGACCTCCTGCAGCTCGCTGGAGCTCAGTGTGTAGTCCACCCTCCAGGACACCGAGTCCAGCTGGCTCACTAGGACAGGCAGACAGCGAGTGAGCACCCTGATTTTGGCAGTGGCTCTCAAATACGTCCTCCTGGCAAACAGGTTCTGAGCCACAGCTCCCCTGCTGCTGGAAACGCAATGGCAAGGCTGAAACCACACTCACGTCTCAGGCTGCAGGCCCTCAGGTTGTCTTGGAGGGGGCTCTGCTTCTCCTCGTAGGATCGGCACAGCCCCGTGGCGTGTTCTACCCGAGAAGACAAGACAACAGAAACACCCGTTACCGCCGCTTCCAGTCCTGGGAGAGCAAAGACCCATCCCTGAGGAAACATGAGGCAGCTCCCAGCACCTGCAGGACACACTGGGATAGGTGGCTGGAATGGGAGGTAACGGGGGAGCACAGTCGTCACCCGTGGCTGATGGCCCAGCCCCGACCCTCGTCCTACCTTTGGGCAGCCCCAGCTGCTGCAGCTCACTGGACAGGGACTCGCTGTCCACGTTGTGCTTGGCTGCGCTGGACAGGATGAAGCTGAGGACGGCAATGGTGGCTTTCACGTCCCCGGACTCTGCAGGGAGCAGAGGATTCAGCTCAAGGCAAAAAAGAGCCCTCCCCGCTCCTCCCTTCAGGAGACAGCATCTCTTGCAGAGCTGGGAAGTGGGGAGAGTACGGGAATAAACTGACGGTGAGCAAAATTCCCTTCTCGGAAATGCTTTGGGATGGGTGATGTGTTTGGGGAGAGAAGGGATTACACAGCATGGCTTATAAGCAGGGCAGCAAGGTCTCGAGGCTACTGCCCCGTGACTTCAGAGTGGTCTCGTTTGCCAGATCTGCCACCGCTTCATGGCACCTGGCTCCTTGGTGACAGCTCTGTCCCCATCCTGAGACCCCGGCTCCTCCGGAACCACAACGAACTCAGCAGCACCCGCGAGGAGCGGCACTCACCCAACTTGGCGTCGGACGTCAGCTTCAGGATCTTCTCATACTGCAGGAGGGAAGAGCAGGTCCCCGATGGGGTGGTTATAGGGAGCCCTGTCCTGACCTACACCCCGTCACAGCCACGCTGGGGGCCTCATAGAATCACAGAATGTTTAAGGTTGGAAGGGACCTCTAGACGTTCTCTAGTGCAACCCCCTGCACACGCAGGGTCACCTAGAGCACATGGCACAGGGCTGCGTCCAAGCGGGTTTGGAAGATCTCCAGAGAAGGAGAATCCACAACCTCTCTTGGCAGCCTGTTCCAGTGCTCTGTCAAGAAATTGTTCCTTAAGTTCCTGTGGAACTTTTGATGCTTTAATTTCTGTCTGTTTCCTCTAGTTCTGTCGGTGGCCACCACTGAAGGTGGCCTCCTCTGCCACCCATTGCCTCCAGCCTCTCGGGCGGCACCCAAAGCTGCTGGATGCAGCCTAGGTGCCCCAGAGCCCTCCCCACCAAGACCGCGTTACTGCCATATCATTTACTAACAAATATCATGACTGATAAGTAACAATAACACTGGTACCAGCACTGTTGGTGCTAGTAGAGCATTTGTCACTCGAACACCAGCGCCAGTGCTAACGCCAACAACTTTACCAGTGCCAGTGTGACAACAGCATTGCCATGAAGCTTCAGGTGACTTACATCGATGGCCTCCCCCAGCAGGTCCTTGAGCACCTGGGCACAGATGAGCTTCAGCTTCACTGAGGACTGTGCGAGGCGGGGAAGAAGGGCAGTGGTCACCCGCAGCCCCCAGGTTCTCCCTCCCCCCATCTCATCCCCGGGGTCGTGTGGGATTTGGGAAGGTTGAGGGGAATTTGGGGAGAGGACTGAGGGCTTGCGAGGGGGGAGAGGGAGGGCTGAGGGCTCGGGGGAGGGAGGCTGAAGGTTTGGGAGGCTGTGTTGAGGGCTCGGGGGGGTGTTGGGGTCCCGGTGGGGAGCTAAGGGCTC